GTCCTCATTTTAGATTCTTATCCAGACTAATTCTATCTGCAATGACACATGATTACAAAACACCAAATGGCTATTTGACTGTAGAGTCCTGAATCTTAGCTTTAGTGTGAATCGTATGAAATACATACAGCTATCTAATTTAGAAATTCGGAAATCTTAAGTATGTTTATTTTAAGAATGATAATAAAGTGTAACGACTTTTAGGACTCTTTGCTGTATTACTGTCATGTGTTTTGAAAAAAGGGAGAGGCAGGAATGGTGAAACATGCTTGTAATCCCAGCTACTCAGGAAGCTGAGGCAGGAACAGCATGAGTTCAGGGCCAGTCTAGGCAACATAGTGAGGCCCTGTCTCCAAAAAAGTAATAATAATAAAGGGAGGGATAATATTTTCTAAATCCTAGATTTATTTTTTTTAATTTAGGTTTTTGCCATAGGAAATGTGCACTTGCCAGAGAGAGACAGTGAGAGCGAAAGTGAGAAATCATCCCCCGGGGGATGATCACACTGCAATCCTTTCTTTCAGTCTCTTCTTAGGATTTTGGGCACACACATGTGCATGTGTACGCGCACACACACACACACACACACACACACACACTCACCTGGCATGTTTCAAGCCACCAGGTCTAGGACTCAACCCACAGTTGGTGGTTGGCCATGTGGGAGTCCAGCACTTTAACCATCTCGCGCCCCCTAAATCTTAGATTTTAATCTTATTTGACTCAAGGAACAAGCTACCAGTGAGTGTCAAAGGCTTTGTTTTAAAATCTTTTTCAGGAAAGAACTCAGTGTACTAAAAGTAATACTCTGTGGAGGGACAGGTAACTCGCTCTCGGGTTGTTTTTTCCAATTAGATGCTCTACAAAAAAACTCTTCCTATAAATTTTACTAGGCATCTTAGAAAATAGCAAATAATTTGGTATGCTCTTAGATATTTGAGTTTCTGACTAACTCTGCTAGTTAGTTAGAACATGTTAAGGAGGCCACAGTTTTGTGGAAGAGATCTCTGAGGAATCTGATCTGAGAACTTGAACGTAAGGTTTATAGACATGCTGTAGGCGCCATAGAACAACCTTCTATTAGGTCAAGGCCAAAACGCTCCCCATTTCCTTTTTTAAAATTTTTTAAGAGAGATTTTTGCTACAGGGCGCATGTGCTTGCCAGAAAGACAGAGAGACACAGAGAGACAGAAAGCGAGAAATCACCACCCAGGGGGATGGCCACGCCGCAATCCCTTCTATTCTCCCCTCAGGATTTTGGGCATGCACACACAGGCGCCTGACATGTGTTTTAAGCCACCCTGTCCTCCAACTGGTTGACTACATGGAAGTCCAGCAACATAATTTTTACTCCATCTGCTGGTCCCTCCTATTTTTTTCATTCCTGTAAAAGTTTTGTTTGCCCCACTGAAGGCCTCAGTGTCTAGAAGAGCAACATGAGCCCTGTCTTAAACACGGAGAGGGCAGTTGCTATCCGCTACATCTGCCTCCTCCTTGTCTTCATCACCGGGGGACCCTCATCCCCACCTCTCTATCACTGGTATCTGTCATCAGCTCAACAGTACGAAGAGCTTCCATTCACATGGCCTTTTTAGACAGTGTAATTAGCAACTTCTGGAGCTGTAGAGAGCGCCTAGCCACTTCATCCTGTTGTAATCTCGAGGGGTCAGCTGGGTGGTGTTATGATCCTTGGCACAGTGTGTACTACATAACGAGTATTCGATAAATGGTTGTAGAACTAAGGCTTGTAAATAAGAAACTAAAGCTCAGAAAAGATTTCTAGTTTTCCCAGTGTGAGGCAGGCATAAAGGGAACCGCAAACAATAGAACTTTGGTCTCTCTTATCTATTACATGGTGGGGAAAAGGAATATGTAAACGCACAGAAATAACTCCATGATGTCTTTATTGAATAATAGTTCAGAAGAGGATCAAAGGCAGTGATTCATCGCAAAGTGCATATTCATTGGCCCCTATCCCACCGCATGTGAAGAACAGAGAAAAATGAAAATGGATGATGCACCAGCTTAAAAAAAAAAAATCAACATCATAATGTTGTCACTGGATGTTGATCACTTGTTGTGAAAAAAGAAGAAAGGATTTCACAATGTGACTGAAGGCTGTTTGTACTTTCTTTGTGGGTTCTTTTTCCCAGTGGGAATCAGGAGAAAGGTTTCCTCTCCTTTGTGAAACCGAAGTCAGTTTCCCCTTCTAGCCTTCAGTTTTCCGAGCCAGAGGTTAATGCACAGCTAACCCATCTCAGGGTGATACATATGGAAATTAACACGATTGTTTCTATTTGTAAAGGGAAAAGCTATTGTCAACAAAATGTGAGAAGTGCTCTTTTGAAAGTGCTCAATCACTCACAGCGAAGGTGTTTCAGTTGCTAAGACCAAGGAAGGCATCTTGAAGCTGCTGGTTGGGAACTCAGTCCTGGGTCATCAGGAAGCTTATAATCAGTTGGAAGAACTCAATGAAATTTAGATCATTGCATAGAAAGCCCCCCTTGTTCCTATCAAAAGTCTTAATTCAGATTGGTTTAATATGGTATTTCCCAGTCCAAGGTGACAGGATGGCAATGTCTAATGACCCAATGAGGTAAAAAGTATTTGTTTTTTAAGGTGAGAAAACTGAAAAATAAGAAAGGCGAAGGACATTATTGAAGACATGAAACACTGAGTTAGGAACTATGAGTTTCATTGCCTCAAATTCTGATCTTGACACAGTCATAAACCTCGGGAGAAAAATCGACTATGTGTCTTTTCTTCTTCTTTTTTTTTTTTCCTTTTAGAGGTTATTGTCTTACGGTACGTGCACTTGCTGGAGAGAGAGAGACCGAGACAGTGATAGGGAAAGCGAGAAGTCACCCCCCACCAGGAGGGATGGTCATGCCACAATGCTTTCTCCATTCTCCTCCCAGGATTTTGGGCACACACGCATATGCTTCTGGTGTGAGTTTCAAGCCATTGGGTCTAGGACTCAAATTGCAGTCATGTGGGAGTTCAGCAACATAACCACTACGCCATCTCCTGGCCCCTCTGTGCCTTCTTTTTTTTTCTTTCTTTTTTCTTTTATTTTATACATTCAGTCATTGTACATTACTGCAGCTTATAAAACAAAATTTCCCAGCATGTATCTGTTTCTTATCTGTAAAATCTGAATGGAGGTGGGATTAGGAGCTAATGCACACATTGTGAGAATTCATATCAGATTATAGATACTTCATAAATTATCATTAAAGTGATTGAAGGGCCAACTTGTGGCCCAGTAGTTAAGGGAAGAGGATCCACATGACTGACTGCTCTTCAGATCCTGACTCTGGAAACTTGAAAAACATGCCAGGTATGCATATTTTTGCATGGACCTGAATCCCTATAGGATGGAGAAATGGAGGAGAATGAATTGTGGCAAGACTACATCTTATTAGCAGGTACTTTTTTGCTCTCTTATCTCTGGCAAGTACATGTACCTTCTGATAAATTGAAATAAAAAAATACATATATACATAACTGATTGAGGTAGTAGATTTCAGAGATGGGATTCAAACTTCAAACCTTCTCATGGCACTCTGTCACCCTTTGGATGATGTTCACAGAAGCCAGAATTTCTCATGGTGAAATGTCTAAAACTAGGACTTTAAATGATCTTTCTGTTTGAATTTAGAGCTGTTGTTTTTGCCTGGCCCGTTTGAGTGGTGGGTAGCAAACTGAACTGCAATGCTGGAGGCCACAGGGTAGACTTGGGTTTGGATCCCTTTTGTCAGCCTGAAAACACACTGAGTTCTTGGGCACGTGCCCAGGACCCTGAGAAGCAGGAGAGAAGGAGATTGTGGCGTGAGGAGACCCTATGGAGAGTACTCTCTCCCTCTTCTGTACATGTGCTCTCTGTCATGAGTAAAAATAAATAATAAAACTTAAAAATCTCACGTGTAGCAAGATCATCTAGAGTTGGGATGCCTGCTTTGTCTTAAATCAGTGCTGACAATGGCTGCAAGAATTTGGGATGGAGGCCATTAGGTCTGCAGAACTTCATGTTGCAGGACATAGAGCCAAGAGAATTGGACAAGAGAGAATTTATCTGACTAGGAATCAGCTTTGAAGGGGATCTGCACACACACACACACACACACACACACACACACACACACGGGCTCACACATTATGTGGGAAACACCACATAGGAGGGATATGCCGATTTCTGTAGAAGTAAAGGCTGGATTATTCTCCAGTTTTATTTTCACAGGACAACTAGTGACATGCCAGGTTCATACCTAGGCACACCGCGCCATGGTTCTCATGACATGTTCTAGGAATGAAAGAAAGAGAAGTGAAGAGCAGAGTAGAGGGTGGAGGGAAAGTGGGAAGAGTGCTTGGAAGAAAGGAAGCAGAGACACATTTGAGCCCCTACCACTATCAGTACTGTAGCAGTTGGTAATTGAGTTAGGTTGTGAAGGAAAAGTAGAATTCAATATTTGGAAACAGAAAGAATCAAATATGAGAGAGAAAGCGAGGCTGAGAGAGGAATACGCCTGGTATGCTGAGAGCAGCTATGTTCTACTTGGCACCTGCTTCCTCACCATAACTTGGGTAAAATCCACATTTTCTCAGGGGCATTCAAGTGTAGCCAGTTTCCATTTTGTCTTCTTGCTATGCTATCTTCTAAATTTTCATCTGAAATAATGCCCACATTTGGAGACTGCAAGTGGCATGGAGGTTGAGGCTGGATCCCACATGGCCTCAGTGTGTGGTTTGAGTCCCGAACCCAGTGGCTTGAAAAATCACACCGGGCATGTACGCGTGTGTGCCAAAAAACACCAAGAGGAGGATGGAGGAGAAGGGATTATGGCATGGCCGTCCCTCCTGAGGGATGATTTCTCACTTTCTTGCTCTCTGTCTGTCTGTCTCTGGTGAGTACACATAATAAAACTAAATAATAATGATAATGCTCAAATTTTATAAATTAAAAATCTACTTTTCATGTGTGTGTGTATATTTAGATTTTTTTAAATATGGAAGGCTTCACATATTTGCATGCCATCCTTGCACAGCGGCCATGCTAATTTTCTCTGTATTGTTCCAGTTTCAGTATACGTGCTGCCGAAGCAAGTACTATAGTTAGATTTTTGCCTTAGGGAGCATGTGCTTGCTGGAGAGAGGTAGATGGACACAGAGAGAAAAAGGGAGAGTAAGAAATTGCCCGGAGGGGTATGGCCATGCTTTGATCCCTTCTATTCTCCTACTGGGATCTTGGGCATGCACTCACATGCACCCAGCATGTCTCTGAAGCCACCAGATCCAGGACTCAAACCATGGAGTCAGCCATGTGGGATCCAGAGCCTTAACCATCACACCGTCTTGCTAGCCCCTGCTTTTCATAATTTTGGAATCCAGAAAACTTAACTTTTAAATAACTATCACATAATGCCAAAATTAATTTTAAGGCCAAGAACTTGTTTCTATAAAGTCATTGCAACTTTGAAACGTTGTAAGACATAAGATCTAATATTTTTCTTTTTAAAGAATTATTTATTTAATTTTATTTATTCATTCACATATTTTAATTTGACCAGAGAGGGACAGAGAGAAAGATAGAGAGGGAAAGCAAAAAAGCAAGCTACCAGGTCCAGGACTTTAACTGTGGTTGGTCATGTGGGAGTGTCCAGCGCCTTAACCACCATGCCACTTGCTGGTCCCCAGATCTAGTTTTTTAAAATTATTATTAAATTATTATTATTTTTAAATTTTCTATAGTCAATATGTGCTCACCAGAGTGAGAGAGATAGAGAGAAATAGAGATAGAGAAAGAGACAGAGACAGAGACAGAGAAAGTAAGAAAGCAAGCTGCCAGGTCCAAGACTCAAACCATTGTTGGTCATATGGAAGTCCACTGCTTTAACCACCATACCACCTGCTAGTCCACCCTGGATCTAATTTTTTAATGTTATCCAAGGCAATTTCCTCTTCTTACTAAAGCATATTACTTTTAAGAGGTTTTTCAATCTTCCTCTAATTACTAACAAACATTTCTTAACAGGTATTAGAAAATATGAATTTCAATTTTGACTGTCAACATGCTTGATTGTATTTATTGGTTAAGTTAAATCTAATTAGGTAGGTATTATTTAGTCATTTATGAAGATGTGAAAACTGGGAACCAGTAGTTAGCGTAATGGCTATGTCGCTGGACTCCCACGTAGTCGACCGCGGTTGGCGTCCCGGACCGGTGGCTTAAAACTCATGTCGGGCACGTGTGCGTGCGTGCCCAAGATCCTGAGAGAAGAATGGAGGAGAAGGGATTGTGGCGTGACCATCCCCCCAGGGGGTGATTTCTCGCTTTCTGTCTCTATATCTCTCTCTGTCTGTCTGGTGAGCGCATGCGCCCTATAAGAAAAACCTCTCCAAAAAAAAAAAAATGTGAAAACTAAGATTCAGAGGAGAGAAGAGACTTATCAAAGCAGTAAGTAGAATCCTGTGAATAAGAGCAGGGTTTGAGTTTAATCTCAAGATCCTTAGGATCTGATCTTGGCTCTGTCAAGAGTGAAATAATGACATTGGCACAGTGGCTGAGTCTTTGGGAGTCTCTCTGAAAGTCATTGCAGCTAACTGGAATTTAGTTACTGTTGAATAAAAATTTCAGGAGGGTGCCCAGCAGATGGCGTGGTAGTTAGCATGCTAAACTCTCCTACATGGCCAACCACAGTTGGAGTCCTGGACCTAGTGACTCGATTTCTCACTTTTGCTCTCTCTCTTTCTTTGTGTCTCTCTCTGGTCAAAATAAATTGAAATAAAATAAATAATTTTTAAAAATTTTAGGAGGTTATTGTTTTGGACTAAGCTTCAGCTCTAAGCCTCAACAGAACAAACCAAAATGGAGACACTAGTGTTAAAATGTCATATCATCATGGGCCAGCAGGTGGCAGAATGGTTAAGCCACTGGACTCCCACGTAACTGACTGCAGTTGGAGTTAAGAATCCTGGAGGCTTGAAACTCATGCCTGGCATATGTGTCTCTCCAGCAAAAACCTTTAAAAAAGAGGAAAAAAGAAAGTCACTTCATCAAATTGAAACTTTTGGGAAGTTGATAGACAGCCAAAATAAACTAGTTTTTTCTGAAAACATGAGATTCCAATCTACCTAAGCAGTGCTATAAGGAAATAAAACTTACCCGTATCTTGTGGCTTTTTTTAGGAATGTGCACTTGAAATAGCTCTAGAAGCTACCGAAACTCCTTGCTACCCCTCTGCCTTTAGCTACTTTTACCTTTAAAATCATCCTGTGGGCCAGCAGGTGGCATGGTGCTTAAGCCACTGGACTCCCACGTGGCTGACTATTGTTCAAGTCTGAGACCTAGTAACTTGAAACTCACACTGGGTGCGTGTGCCTGTGTGCCCAAAATCCCAAGAGGAGAATGGAGGAAAAGGGATTGTGGTGTGGCCATCCCCCCCGGAAGGTGATTTCTGACTTTCCCTCTCACTGTCTCTGTCTCTCTGGCAAGCACACATACCCTAGGGCAAAAACCTTTAAAAACAAAATGTCATCCTGTGGTCTGTAACAGGTTGGCACACATAAACCTGGCAGCTTGGATTTCGTGATTCCAGGCAATTATCCCAAACTTGGACCAAATAAAAGCTTTGCTTTACTTACTTTGCTTCTACCTTCTTTTTAGGTTGACATTTTCTAAGTTTTTGGGTTTTTTTGATTGTTTTTGGTGTTTTTGAAGTCATATAGCAGACAGCATACACATGTGAAGACTTGTTAAATCAGGATGGAGGCGTGTACTAAATTATTCTTTCTTATCAGCGAACATTTATTGAGAATTTACCATGAGCCAGGAATTATACCAATAGACAAGATTTCAAAGACATATTGCTAGAAACTTTGGAAAAGTTCCCATAAATATTAAAAAAGAGAGTAAGTTGAAATTAATGCTTTAGAACTTAGAAGTTGTGGGACCGGCAGGTGGTGTGGTGGTTAAGGGTGCTGGATTCCCATGTGGATGACTGCAGTTTGAATCCTGGACCTCAAGGCTTGCTTTCTTACTTTCACTCTCTCTCTGGTCAAATTGAAAAGTAGTAATGATAAATAAATAAGTCTTTTTAAAAATTATTATTACTTGGGACCAGCAAGTGGTGTGGTGGTTAAGGTGCTGAATTCCCACATGGCTGTTCACAGTTTGAGTCCTGGACTTGGTGGCTTGCTTTCTCATTTTCTCTCTCTCTATTTATTTCTCTGTCTCTCTTTGTCTCTCTGGTGAGCCACGTGCCCTGCAGCAAATTAAAAATATAGTAATAATGATGAGGACCAGCAGATGGCAGAGTGGTTACATTGCTGAACTGCCACATGGACAACCGAGGTTCGAGTTCCGGACCCAGTGGCTTCAAACTCTCGCTGTGCACATGTGCATGTGTGCCCAACATACCAGGAGAAGAGCGGAGGAGAAGGGATTGCAGTGTGGCTAATTCCCCTAGAGAATGATTTTTCACTTTCCCTCTCACTGTCTCTGTCTCGCTCTCTCTCCAGCAAACACATGTGCACTGAAGCAAAAACCTCTAAAACAACAACAACAAATAATAAATACAATTAAATAAATAATTCTTTAAAAAATCATTTTTTGCACAGAACTTTTCAGTGTGTTCTGGGAGTGCAACAACAGCAGCATTACCTGAGAGATTAGAATGCAGTCTTGGGCCAGCAGGTGGTGAGGAGATTAAGGTGGCTGGCTTCCACATGATGTGATAGTCCACTATTCAAGTCCCATACCTGGCAGCTAGACAATCACACAGGGTATATGGGCATGTATGCCCAAAATCCCAAGAGGAGAAGGGATTGTGGTGTGGTCATCTCCTGGAGGGGTGATTTCTCACTTTCCTTCTCTGTCTCCCTCCGTCCCCCTCTCACCCCACTGCTAATGTATGTGCCCTATAGCAAAAACAAACAAACAAAAACAAAACAGAAAAACTAAAAAAAAAAAAAAAATCAAACGCACTTAAAAAAATTGAGAAGCAACATTAGCAGACTGATTCGAGTTCACTTTTTTTTTTTGGTAAGGTGGGAGCAATCAGCCCCTAGAGATCTCTGACAGGGAATAAGAGAAAAGATACTCTAGGAGTAACTGGGACGAGAGTACAACTTTCTTTGTATATTAAAGAAATATGATCTTGTTTTGTATTCTAAGCAAGCGATGTCAGATATTTGATTTTACTTTGATTCTCTGGTTCCCTTGGGTTAGAAAATCAGTCTATAATTCCAGTTCTCCGGTAAAGCTTTTCAAAAACTCAAATCTCAATGATCTGTTTCTGTTTTAATAGGGTATCAGGTTTGTGGTATAACCATTGAGACATGTTCAATCTTCTGAAAACACTCAATATTCTGGATAGTCACAGATATTTGAATTGATTGATTGATTGATTGATTGATTGATTTAATTTATTTTTTTGAGAGAGATTTTTGCTATAGGGTACATGTGCTTGCCAGAGATACAGAGAGAGACAGAGAGATAGAAAACCAGAAATCACTCCTGATGGGGGTGACCACGCCGCAATACCTTCTGCTCCACTCTCCTCTCGGGATTTTGGGCATGCACGCACATGCGCCTGGCGTGAGTTTTAAGCTACCGTTTCCAGGACTTGAACCGCAGCCAACTAGATGGAAGTCCAGCAATATAACCATTACGCCATCTGTTGGCTCTAGGCATTAGAATTTTTAAAAAAAATAACAATTTTTCAGGGCCAGCGCATGGCAGCTGGATCTCACATGACTCATTGCTCGGTTTGAGTCCCAGAACCAGTGATTTGGAAAACACACTGGGCGTGTGTGCGTGTGTGTCCCAAATTCCAAAGAAGCTGAAATGAAGGAAACAGATTTTGGTGTGACCATTCCCCCGGGCAGGCGAGGGTGTGCTTTCTTGCCTTCCCTTTCTTTTTTATCTCCTGCCAGTTCATGTTCCATCTGGCAAAAAATACTTTGAAGGAATTGGTGCTTTCCAAAAAAAAAAAAAAAAAAGGAAGACAAAATACAGGTTTATTTTAATAAAAATAGTCCAAGGGACCAGCAGTTAGCGTAATGGCTATGTCGCTGAACTCCCATGTAGTTGACTGTGGTTCAAGTCCT